TACAGACCTCAGAAAGGGGAGAGAGGTAGTGGCAATGACAGGTGCTGCTGTGAAAATCTTCTTACTTCACCTGAGGCCACCATGTAGTCTATGAATAGTTGACCCTGCTGTTTCCTCTCTCTCTAGCGTGTTTACTCCTTTATCATCTTAGGTGAAAGAATATTAGGAATGGCACGATATGGTGGCTTTCAAGTAGTTGGAAGAGTCACCAGAAGTCTATTGACAAGAGTCTATGGAAGAGACTATAATAACTGCTGTAGCTAAACTAGTCAAGGAGCCAAAACAGCTACCAGAAAGGTTCTCTAAGACTGATATTGGGGATATACTAATTGGCACTGATCAAATGATATCAGGGTGAATGTACTAGATGATAGCTTGGTAGTCATAGCACTAGAAGAACCTCATAGTCTCCCAAGGGCGCCCCTATATCCCTAAAGGGAGATGGAGAAGTAGCTCTTCTATGTGAACCCAATCTGCCAGTAGAATTGGGGTTAGGAGAGTGAGCCCAGAGCATATGTATGTTTGTACATACATATGTATGTAAATACATTTATGCTACATCTTTGGGGGATATGAAAGCTGTCTTCAAGTACTGAAATATCAATATAATGGACAATGGATTAAGTGCACTCCACTTGACCCTGAGGGAAAAACTAGGAGTAGTGTTTGAAAGTAGCAGTGAGGAAAAATTAAGGCTTGATTTAACAACAACAAAAAACCCCCAACAATATCAATAATAATAATACTTCCTAAAATTCTAAATATCCAAAAGTGGAATTGGTTACATTAGGAAATAGTGGGTTTCTTCTCACTGCTCAAGGACTTCAAAGATTGGATGACTGATTTTCAGGAATGGTATAGGATGGATTTTTGTTCAGGTATGAATTAGATAGTCTCAGAGAACTCTTTTAACTGTGAGATTCTGTGATTCTGTGACATCATGGGAAAATCACATAACAGAGTTTGTGGGAAGAAAGGACCCTAATTATCATCCTTCCTATCACTACTACCTTTTTCTTGCCCAGAAAAGAGGATCTCTCATTTATTTAAGGCTTTAATGTTTAAAAAGAAGAAGCCTGAAGTTCAAGAGATATACCCTGTCACTTTCTGGGCAGATTTACAAGTATAGTTAATTTGTTTCTCCTTAACCTTCATCCTATTTTCCCAAAATTTCCCAGAGATCATTCACATGATAGTTTTGATGAATGGGCATAACCATAGCCTGAATTTTTTTCTGACTGTGACCAGTATCCCTCTATGTAGCTAGGTGAATGACCCTTTGCCCTTAAGACTATGGGCTTGTCATTCCTTCATATTGTAGGTGTCATAGGACTACTGCCTACAGCATCTTCAAATTTGGGAAATAAGAACTGAGGAATGAAAGAAGCCACTACTGAAGTAGTAAAGTCATATGGTTTCCCCATATTTTTCCACACTTCTCTCACTCTTCAACCTCTTGAATGCCACCTGGCCTCCACTTTTAACACTAGACTGAAACTACCTCTAAAGTTGGCAATGATTTTTTAAACCTTTTTAAATAAATTGTTCTCATGAGCTTAGTATTCATTTTTCAGTATGCAAAGAACATAGCAAGACAATTGCATATGAAACTGTAAACTTCTGTTATGTAGTTTATAATATAATATGAAAGTACAATGAATTTAACACAATCCTAAAGAAAGAGTCCTCTTTGTCTGGATTCTCTTTTGAACTTTCTTCTGAAATCTTCTGAGCATTTTTAAAAGGGTTCATTTACTCTAATTCCTTTTTATTTTCTTTTTAGTAATGAAGAGAGGACACTTCCCATGGAGCACGTGTGGAGGTGATTTTGCCTGAGGTTCCAGGATGGAAAGGTAAAGAACGTAAGACAAAGTAAAAATAATTTGGACCCCTTATTTAAAGGTCAGGTTCACCTGAGACTGACCTTGGTACCCCTATGAACCTAAAACAAAGGGATAAGTCCCCAGTTCCCTGGATAATTTGTTGGTCTGTTGTTAGAATTAAGAGTTCCTCCAGCATCTGTGAAGCTGCTTCCAGTCAATCTCAAGTAAAATAATCCCTTTTTTGGGAGACAACACATGTTTGGGTTTTACCTGAGCTTGTTTGATTTGTTTGTTGTAAGCCTGCTTATTCTATAATTGGATGAGATCAGGTCTCCATTTTGTATGCCCTCTATGTTGCAGGGAGAATTGAAGACACATTATCTGGTATTCAGTTTGAATTGACCTGAGCATTGGAATGGTACCTGACAAGGATATGTAGAGGTTGAACATTTGACTTATGTTCTGGATGGACCTATTCAGGAATTTTCACTGAAGGCTCTTTGGATTCTCATCTTTCCATGGAGGATCCACCAGTAAATCTCTTCCAGTAAGTCTAGTAACATCCATTGATACAATCATATGATTTTTTGTTGTTTTTGTTATTGATATGGTCAATTATCTGATAGTTTCCCTAATATTGAATGAGCCCTGCATTCCTGGTATAAATCCTACCTGGTCATGATGTATGATCTTTGTAATACATTGTTATAATCTCCTTGTTCATATTTTATTTAACATTTTTGCATGAATATTAATCAGGGAAATTGGTCTATAATTTTCTTTCTCTGTTTTTGCTTCTCCTGGTTTAAGTATCAGCACCATATCTGTGTCATAAAAGGAATTTGATAGGACTCCTTTGCCTGTTTTCTCAAATTGTTTACATAGTATTGAAATTAATTGGTCTTTAAATGTTTGGTAGAATTCACTTGTGAATCCATCTGGTCCTGGGGATTTTTCCTCAGGGAGCTCATTGATACCCTGTTCAATTTCTGTTTCTAAGATAGGGTTAAGTATTCTATTTCCTCTTCTGTTAATCTGAACAATTTGTGTTTTGTAAATATTCATCCATTTGACTTCGGTTGTTAGATTTATTGACATATAATTGGGCAAAGTAGCTCTTAATTGATTTAATTTCTTCTTCATTTGGTGGTGAATTCACCCTTTTCATTTTCGATACTGGTAATTCAGTTTTCTTCTTTCTTTTTTAAAATCAAATTAACCAAGAGTTTAACCATTTTATTGGTTTTCTCATAAAACCAGTTTTTTGTTTTATTAATTAGTTCAATGGTTTTCTTACTTTCAATTTTATTAATCTCCCAAAATTTGGTCCTTAATTGGGGATTTTTAATTTTTTCTTTTTCTAGTCTTTTAAATTACATGTTCAATTCATTGATCTGTTCTTTCTCTATTTTATTTATATATCTAGAGATATAAAATTTCCCCTAAGCATTGTTTTGACTGCATCCCATAAATTTTGTTTCTTGATGTCTTATGGAGTCATTAGTTCCTACTTGCCCGATTCTAAATTTCAAGGAATTATTTTCTTCAGTGAGCTTTTGTACTTTTTTTCCACTTGGCCAATTCTACTTTTTAAAGACTTCTTTTCCTCAGTGAATTTTTGTACCTCTTTTTCCATTTGGCAAATTTTGCTTTTTAAAGAGTTCATCTCTTCAGTGGATTTTTGTGCCTCTTACCATTTGTCCAATTCTGTTTTTAAGGTGTTATTTTTTCTTTAGTATTTTTGTGCCTCTTTTACCAAGCTATTGACTCTTTTTTCATAATTTTCTTACATCACTAATTTCTTTTCCCAATTTTTCCTCTACCTCTCTGATTTGATTTTTCATATTTTTGGGGGGGGCAGTTCCAGGATTTCTTGTTAGGCTTATGTCCAATTCAAATTATTCTTTGAGGCTTTGCTTTCCACGTTGAAATCTTCTGAGTTTGTGTCTTGATCTTCCCTATCTCCATAGTAGCTTTTTGTAGTCAGGTTCTTTTGTTGTTGTTGTTTGCTTGTTTTTCCAGCCTATTTCTTGACTTTAAATTTTATGTTAAAGTTGGGCTCTGCTCCCAGGGTGGAGGAGGTACTCTCCTAAGCTTCAGTTTTTCCATGCTGCTCTTTTGAGAGTTAGCCCTGGGGGTCTATAAGTTTTGAATGCTTCCAGTGTGGTACAATCTAAGGAAAGGTGTGGGCACTGTTCTCCTGGCCTGTGCTCTCTGGTTTTTATCCAAGAAGGGACCTTGCTCCCCTGTAGCCACAAGTGCTATTACTCCTTTTGGCCCTGGAACTGTGACCAGATCCCCTGATCTCTGGCAGCCACAAGTTCTTTTTTGCCTTAGAACTATGACCAGAGCTCCTTCTCCCCTGTGGTCACAAGCACTAATGTTTATTTTTGTCCTGAGATTGCAAACTAGAACTGATAATAGGCAATACAACAGGATCCTGAACCCAGTGCCAGCAAAGGTTCCCTGTAATCTCTTTCTGAGCCCCTCATTGTCTGTAAGCTGAGAGCTCCTGAAACTTCTGTTGTTGTACCTCTAAGGCCTGCTGCTGACATTGCTGCAGCAAGGCCTGAGCTGTGCTCTGGGCCCAACCACCACCCCAGTGCTACAAACCTTTCCCGATGACCTCTTAAATTGTCTTGGGCTGGAAAATCATTTTACCTCAACCTTTTGTTGGCTCCAGAACTCATTATGTTAAAATTGTTTGGAAGGGAATTTTGGGAGAGTTCAGGTGAGTTTTTGCCTCTGCTTCATCATCTTGACTCCCCCTAAACTATTTTTCATGTGAGTTTGACTGCTATGAGATTACTTTCTATTCAGACAGTATATATAACATATATATGTGTCTATGTGTCTATGCACATATATACACACATAGCTTTATATATCTACATGCCCATACACTTGTGTGTGTGTGTGTGTATATATATATATAATATATACATACCATGTATACATATGGTATATATACACAGAGAGACAGTTCTCAATTTATGAGAGTGGATCGTTCCACAGACCTCTATGTAAAGCAGTTTTTATGGAATGTGAATTTGACCACCAATGTGGGGGAGGGAGGGAAGGATAAAGGGGGCCATTTGCTTGTGGAGGGAGGGAACTGGCACCCAGCTCAAGAACATGTGGGGGCTGGGGACAGAGAAATGAGAGCAGGAAGTTGGATCATGTTAGGCTGGGGCCACTACATAGAGGCTTGGCTGAAACCAAGAGGAAGAACATGCAGGGGACAGACATGTGGGGGTCAGACATGGACACAGACAGGAGAGGATGGCTAACACTCAGGGGCTGGGGACAAACACATGGCACAGAGGGACAGAAGACAGTTATGTGGGCCAGACACAAGGGTGGGTGGGCAGAGCAGGGCAAAGTTCTCCTCTCTCAGCACCAGAGGTATCAAGCCAAGCTCCTGTCCAGTGGCCTCCACAGTGGCAAGTCACTCCACATCCATTCTTCTGCTTTCATTTGAAGGGATTTTTTTTCTTTTCTTCTTCTTCTTCTTCTTCTTCTTCTTCTTCTTCTTCTTCTTCTTCTTCTTCTTCTTCTTCTTCTTCTTCTTCTTCTTCTTCTTCTTCTTCTTCTTCTTCTTTGTGCAGAGGTAAGAGGACACAGATTGTGGAGCCAAGGGGCAGGAAGAAAAAGAGCACAGTACCGTATGGTAAAATTAACACAGATTTTTCTGAAATGCCAATTTCTTTCCAAATTCTTTACATAAAGTCAAATTTACATACTATGAATTTAAAGCAAGAACTGTCTGTACACATATCCATATATATGTACATACATACATATATGCAGATACATTTATATATACACACATTACTATTTTATCATTGTCCTCCTTAAAATATGAACTCCTTGATGACAGGTACTAAGTTTTTGTCTTTCTTTGCGTCTCCAGTGCTTACACAGTAACAGACATAGTGAGCTTAATAAATATTTGTTGACTGACTGACTACATGGTCAGCTCTCACAGTTAGGGATGCATCTCCAAGCAACTGGTTTGCCTCCCTGCTCCTCTATTCAAACTTGCCAGCATTCCTCTGGTACTGTTAATGCCATGTGCTAACATTATCAATTCTGGGGCTTCTCCACCAAGAAGTTGCTGCCATTTGCTGGACCTCATACATACTACTAGGCTTCTGCCTCAAAGGGAATGTTTCTACTCAGGCAACACATGGAATGGAGCTGCTTAAGCTACACATTTTTAACTTTTTTGTGGATACACACAGCCATACCCAGAAGTACAGAAAAAGGGCTATCAGATGATTATTAAGACATTTCTCCATATCCTACTGCTGGTCAGCAGGAAATGCATTAACCTCAAAACTCCCCCTCCCCCAATACCAATTACATAGGTAAGAATGAACGGAGTTATAATGAGGACAATGCGGATGACTTTTAGCCCAAGATTCCAACATGGTAGTAGAATACCTATGTACTCTCTATAAGAATCCTCTCCTGGCATATTGTTGTTGTTGAGTTGTTTCAGTTGTGTCTGACTCTCTGTGACCCCATTTTGGGCTTTCTTGGTAAAAATACTGGGGTGGTTTGTCATTTCCTTCTCCAACTCAATTTACAAATGAGGAACTGAGGCAAACAGGGTTAAGTGACTTGCCCATGATCATATAACTAGGTAGTATTTCAGGCTGGATTTGAACTCAGATTCTCCTGACTCCAGATCTGGCACTCTATCCATTGCACCACCTAGCTGGCATACACTCAGCAAAAGACTTGACCACTCAGACCCAAGCTACCATATCCAGGGTCCAGTATCTATAGTGGCCTCCCCTGCCCAGCTCACTTTTCTAGGAAACCCCTACCTCACACAATTTCTGGCTCCTCTCTTTTCACTGGAGTTGGGGAAGGGTCAGGGGGAAAAATCAATACTTTGTGGCCATGAAAGGACTCTCTGGAGCAAGGATTCTTGATCTGAGAATCTACAAATATGCTTCACAGCATCTCAACTTGGAAGAGAAAAAATATATCTTTATTTTCATTTATCTTCAATTGAAATTTAGCATTTCCTTCTATTACTAAAAAAAGAATTTCTAAGCAAGAATCCATAGTTTCACCTGCCTGCCAAAGCATCCCATGCAAGGTAAAGGAAACTTGTGCTTTAAGAAGGACCAGTCTTACCCCAAAATGACTTTAGCCAGAGTAGACTGTTTGCAGCACTCCACTCCCCCCAAAAGAAAGGTGCCCAGGATACAGGAATTTCAAATGATGGCTCTAAAAGCTACTGAATTCTTTTAAACTCTCATCATTTCCCTGTCAGCTTGTTCCAGAGCCATGCAAATGACTTTGAAGCTTTAATAAGCCATAAGGTGACACTTAAAAACATTTGAGGGGGTAAATGGGAGCTGGGAGTCTTTATCTTATAATCCTGTTACTGCAACAAAGTTCTTGTCCCCCTTACATGCCCAAACATAGACAAACTTTTTTTTTCTTTTTAAACAAATGTCATCAGAGACTGGGAAAAACAGGGGAGGGCAGTTCTTAACTTTTCAAAGGGAAGATTTTGCTCACAAAACCTTCAGCTCTTAAGTTTAGTATCAGAATGGATGAGCATCTAGATGCTTTTGAGAGTTCCTTTTTCCTGGTCCATGACTCAGTGCTTGTATCAATCAGTAATTCAATCAACCAAGCATTTCTTAAACATTTACTAAGTTTCAGGCTTTGTGTTGGGTGCTAGCAACACCAAGAGAAAATCAAGAGTCTGTTCTAAAGAAGTGAATGTTTAAGGGAGGGGAGAGACGCAAGGACCTCAGTGTATACAAAAATTAAGTGGCACACTCAAAAGTCTATGGGTTTCCTCCAATCCAAACCCATGACAAGTGCAAAGTAAATTTGGGGGAGAAACAGTAGCACCAGAAGGGAAGCAAGGAAGATCTGAAGATTTAAAGGAAGCTAGGGATTCCAAGAGATGAAGAGTAAGATTGTCTCAATTCTAGGCATGAGAAATAGTCTATGCAAAGGCATGAAGATGAGAGATAGAATATTACCTAAAGGCAAGAACAAATAGGCCAGTTTAGGTGGAGCTGAAATAATGAGAAGGGAAATAATGTGAAGAGAAAGTTAACCTGAAGCCAGAGAGTGAAGAGCTCTAAACGTTTAACAGAAGAATTTCTATTTTTCCCAGAGGCATTTTGGCACAAGGGTAAGACCTGGCATGGTCTCAGACCCATATTTTAGGAATGTCATTTCAGCATCTAGGTGCAGAAGTGATTGTGTTCTTATCTCTATACTTTTTCTCTCTGGGTCAGTGCATACCCTTTGTCTCTGACTTCTGGTTGGGATCACCATGTGGGAGTCTGGGGAAAGGGATAAGCCTAGCTAACCATGTTAAAAGGATTTCCTTTCACACATATTACTTTGATTCTTAAATATTCCAACTTGGCCCTATATCTACAGGTAGGGGGCCGGGCATATGAGCTGGTATAGCAATGTGTCACATTAAATAAGAAGGGGCTTTCATGACAGTCTGTCTTATTGGAACTGCCACAAATCTTTGACCTGTTGCAGATGTTTGTGATTGTGCTCTCCTTCTCATGGATGAAGGTGTTCAACTGCTTGCAGAATCTACCCACAATCAGCCCCCTTTTCTGCATCATCACATTACAGTACTGATGTTTACTTCCTGGGACGTTAGTCTTGGGGTAGTCCACATGGTGCTTCCAGAAATCCTGGCCCTTGGAGAAGTTGGTCAGGTCCAGGAGGAGGAGAAAGAAGAGGGTCCACATCATGGCATGGGCCATCTGCCCTTGGGAGGACCGGGAACAAGAGAGAGAAGCAGCCATCTCTAGGGTGGGGGGGGGGGAGGGAAGAAAAGAAAACTATAAGACAACTTTATTATGTACTAATATATATTATATAAAAGGAATAGCATTTCTTAATTATGTACTTAATAAGCATTTCTTATTATATACTTAAAAAGAATAGCATACATAGGGTGTAAATATTGCTAACAGATTTGCAGTTTCACCCACAATAATCTTTTGTTTTTTTCCTACTCTACTATGTTATGGAAATGTGTGGTTTTTTTTCTTAAGTTCAGAATAAAATAAATATTTTTTTTAAGTGACAATCTATGACTTCCCTGGAAGACCAGCTTCTCATCTTTTTTATATTTTGAACCCTCTCAACTAAATCTCTATTCTCACTTACTCCAACTCATCTCATCTGTACTTTTACATTCCTTTATATATCCCTTTACATATCCCTTTTCTATCTCTTTACTACAGATCTTCATCCCTGACCCCAACCCATGGACCTAGCTTAACAAATCCTTTATTATCTATATTAATTCTGGTCTTAACTTGGGATTTGGGGATGATTGGAGGATGGAGGCAGGGTTGCTCAAGGAAGGAGAAAACTTTTTCCTCTATCTCCCCATCCTGAGGGATCACTACCATATTGACCCTATCTCACATCCAAGAAGGACTATCAAAGACCAAACCTCCGATGAAGAAAAGGTGGGCAAGTCAAACTGATGCCTAGGTAGCAACAGTCAGGGAAGCACATCAAAAGATACTTTTTAATGTTTCTTTTTATAAATGCATATTTTTAGTGCCCACAAATTCCACTCTTAATGACATGTAGCTATAAATTTTTGAAAAAAAAAAATTCAAGTCACATGTGATAATGGACAGTAACAAATTGGGGTGGGGAGGGGTGGCAAATGAGCCACTTTCAAATTTTGCCTAGGGTGTAAAGATATTTTCTCCTAGCTCTTCTTAGGTATCCTGACTCTAGGAAGGGAAAGGCCTCCCCTATTTTAGATGTATGTAAAACTACTCATTTCTGACATCTTCAGGACAAGAGATCCCCATGTAATAGGGAATTAAGGAGATCCCCTTTAGTCCTCTACCTTTCCCTTTTCTTTATTCTTTTATTATGTTTAATACACTTATCTCCTTGCTCTCTCTAGTTTCTACATTCCTCCCCCTTACCCCAAGAAGGGATCCTACCACTGTCTTCTCCCTATTTGTGAGTAATCCCAAATGGCCAGTCCCATTACTGGGTTTTCTCTCCTCACCTAGTGTCTCTGCTCTGCCTTCTGCAGATTTAGGATCCCGTTGGCTCCTGAGCTGGGAAGGAGCCTTAGTCTCTTTTTCCTCTCTGTCTGTTCTTTTCATATAGTCTCAATGTATGGGTGGAGCTAGATAGAGGTGGGGCCTTGGTTCCAGATTAGAGGTGATGTAACCTGGAGAACTGTTTCATCATTCTATGGATCTATAATATACAAGGGGTTTCTAAATTGAAAATGAAATCCAAACTCATTCCCGCACAACCTAGCTCTTACCTTTCTCCAAACACCCTCACCCTACCATTTACATTTGAAGAAACAATAGGTCAGAAGCCAGAATCTTCTTGGGAAAAGCAAACTCTCCCCATTCTTGGAGCACATAGCTAGAGGAACAAAAGATTGAAAGTGAGGCCTCCTTGTTCTTTAATCATTTTTGGCTCTTACCCCTACTCCTCTTTGGCATTCATCTTATGAGTAAAGACGTAAATCCTGTATAAACCAACCAAACAAACAAGACAAACAAACACTTGAGATAGTTGAGCAAAGTTTCTCTTCAAAATGAGAGAAATTCCTCGCTCAACTAAGGCCCATCAAAGTCAGTCAGTGAGTCAGAAAATAAACATTTATTTAGAGCCTACTCTGTGCCAGGCCCTGGCCTAAGTGCTAGAAATTCAAAGGAAGGGGGAAAAAAATCCATTTTCCTCAAACAGAAGGAAATGCCTCTAGATCTAGTAAATGAGTTCAGATATCTATAAGTAAATACTTCAAAATGAAGAAAAATAGCCCAATATTAATGAAACAGAGGACCCTGTGAAATTAGAGAAGGACATGGAACCATGACACATTGTCCCTAAGTGGTTCAAAACAGAAATGAAAATTTTGAGAACCTAACACATGACCCATATAGCAAAAATAATGGGTAGATTTAAAAAAAAAACAGAACAAAACCAGAATCTGTGATAGCAAATCTCACCAAAAAAAAACCTCAAAAGTGAACAATTGATTGGCAATTCAAATACATAGAATTGAATGACAATCTATAAGAAGAGAAACTATAAGTAATAATATTATAAGGAAATGTGATTATTATGCAAGTAACACATACAGATCTTGTAGACAGAATGAGTAGGGACAACCTAAGGATCATAGGTGTCCCAGAAGAACATGACAGGACAAAAAATTTTGACACCATGATGAAGGAAATAATAGAAGAGAACTGCCCAGAACTTCTGGACATAAGACATTCCAATTGAAAGAATTTGCAGATCACCTCCAAAAAAAAAAAGAAAAGCCAAGGCTACAAACTTGAAGACACATAGTGGTTACATTTAACAAATCAATCCAGAAACCACAAGTTCCACAAGCTATTATGAAAAAGACCTTCAAATACAAAGGAAATGACATTAAAATAGTATAAGACCCACCAAAAAAAGGGAGGAGGGAACGGAATAATGTGTTCTGAAATGCACTTGATGCATCCCAGAGTGATCTTTCCTATAAATCTGAGCTTAACCATACAAGACAAAAGATGGGCATTCAATAATAAGAGTTTGAAATATTTTTAGAAAGAAAACCCCAAGTGAAAAAATTATTTGCTTCTTGGATACCTCAAAAAACTGAAAAAAAAAAGAATGAAAAAATTACAGACAGCAACAGAGTGATAGCTGAAAGACCAGTAAGAGACTTCTTCCTAAAGGTACACAATGAGACAAGGGTGAATGAAGAAATATGGTCGAGGTAATAGTGAAGAGGTTGACAGGTGCATTATGGATAGAACCTGCCTACAAGTGAATGCATCTTTTGTGAGACTACATCACAACATGGGAAGGAAATGAAACAGGGTGAGGGGAACAGGGATATAGAGAAGAATGAGAGATACACCAGGGTCAAATCAATGGCTAGCAATGGGGGGAAGCTGACCTCTTCAGTCTCAGAATGAGAAGAGCCTATAGGGGAATGGATAAAGAAGAAGGGGAAAAGATTGAAAAAAGGAGGAAAAGAAGGAAGCTTCACTTTGATTCCATTGATGAATGCTTCTATAGGTGAAAAGAGATAAGAATCTTACACTAAATGAGGCATGGGGGATCTGAAGCCTGAAAAGCCTATTTTTCCTGTGAGTGGGGGGAGTTGGAATCATTGTGGACAACTGGCACCTGAAGGAGTAGGAGAGCATAGGCACAGGGAGGAGACTTCAGGCAAATATAGAAAAATAAAAGTCAACAAAAAGAGGATATAGATATGTAGGGGAAGGAGGTTGGATTGTTGACTCCCTAACATGGAGCAATGTCCTCTCTGACACCTCCAATAACAGGCATTGCTCTGACAGTGAGGTCCAATCAAAAAGGCGAATCCATGAAGTAAGCCCTATAAGACAATGGCAGAAAGCTTCTAGAGGGCAAAACCTAGAATGAATACCTTGGAGGCTTTGATTGCATGAAGAATATAGAGAGACTAGATGATCATAGGAATCATGAGTCAGAGAATGAGGGTCTAGTAAACAAAAAAAGAAGATGGACAATGAAGAGAGTAAAAGGAAGCTTTTTTTGAAAGAGGTGCAAAAATTAAATTAAAAAAAACCTAATGAACAGGATAAGCTGAAGGAGAGGAAGGGGGAATCTACCTGAATGAGAGGGGAAAGGAGGGGAAAGAAATATATAATCAGATAAAAGCAAAAGAGAGGAACTAATAAGCAAAACCCTAAAGGAAAAAGAATAACAAATGAAAGGAGGGGAATTGGAGGAAGGTGAAGAGAGCCTTTAGAAACAAGGGCCATCTTAAAAAAAAAAAAGATTAAAGTAACTGAAGGAACATAATGTTGTATTTACAGTAGAATAGGGGAGAAAATCATGACCTGAAAAAAAATTATAGAGATAGAGGGAAACATAAACCTAACTCTGATAACTTTAATGAGAAAGGATTAAACAATCCAATAAAATGAAAAAGGGTAACCAATATTCAAAAAATAAAAATGGATAAAAAAGGAAGTATATTATGCTGAAAGGAACCATAGATAATGAATCAATATCAGTACTAAACTTATATACTCCAAAAGTCTTAACATCCTAATTCATAAAGGAAACATTATCTTAGCTTCAAGATGATATAGACTGTAACACAATAGTAACAGGAGACTTTGAATAAGTCTGGCAGAAAGATAAACAAAAAGAAAATATGGAACTGAACAAATTTCTGGAGAAACTAGAATTAAAAGACATAATATCTTCTGAATAGGAGAACAAAAGAATATACATGTTTCTCTATACTACATGGAATTTTTATGAAAACTAACCATGTGCTGGGGCACAGAGATAGTGCAAACAAATGTAAAAAGACAGTAAAGTAATACATCCTTCACAGACTATTTGCAATAAGAATAGAAATAGTTTTAAGGACCACAAACACAAGATGCAGACTCAAATAGAGACTAAACAATGAAATCTTAATGAGTGGGTCAAAGAATAAATCATAAAAATAATTAATAACTATATAAAAGAAAATCATAATGATGAAACAACACACTACAATTTCTGGGATGCAGCTTAAATAGTTTTCAGAGGGAAAATCATATACTTACAAACATATATTAACAAAATAGAAAGAGAAAAAATTAATAAATTGAATGTGCATTTTTTTAAAATTAGAAAATCAACAAATAAACTTAAAATAAGCGCAAAAGAGGAGATATTAAAAATTAGAAAGGAAATATATAAACTGAAAAAACCTATAGGAATGATAAATAAAACTAAAAACTTGTTCCTTGAAAAGAATAAT